ATCTAGGCTCCATGTAAAAGCTGGGGCATTGCCATGGGTATTTATATTGTTTGGAGTGGGGGAGAGAAGGGGAAACAGACAAGCAGGTACTGGAGGCCAGCCACTCCAGCCAGAACACCAGGAAGCTTCAAGCCTATTCATAAGAAGACAGGGTAGAGAACAGAGAGTAATCAAGGAAGGAACCCAACATCTTCCTCTGGCCTCTGTGTGATGTAAGTGACTGCATGTGCCTGCACACACATGACCACACATGACACACATACTACATACATACATACAATATAGAAGAAAGAAGAAAAATGGCAGGTGAAGTTTTTCTGATTTTCTTTCTTTCAGTTATACTTATGTTACAAAATGCCAGAAGTAGTAAACAGTCGTTAAGAAAGAAAATGCTGCAAGACTATTGTGAAATAAAGAGTAACTGGGAAAATAAGCAGGTTTCAGCATACATGGGGAAGCTTGGACAAGCATCTGCTTGCTTCTGTTTTAACTTGAGGGACTGTCAGATTTTATCCATCTGATTTCATGTTGCTCACTTCAACCTAATCCCTGTAGTCACTCAATCTTTGCATTCACAGCATCTGATGTTTAGACCATTATTTCTGACCGATTCAAAACCCACTTCTGGTGTCACTGCAATACAAGAGTTGGAAGGCTTGTGTAAACATCTGTAGCTTGGAGGCCTAAGTGCTCAGCTGTATGTTTTCTTTTAAATTGTGTTTAATTATCTTCTATCCAGTAGCATGGGGTAAAGGTCTTTAAAGTTGGCCTATATGCAGTCATGCCTTCCAAGCATACATCTTCCCATTGTACAGCATATTCTTCTAAACACGCAACTGAATCCTGTGTCCTAGCACCGGATCCTGTTTTCTCTAGAAGTGAGCTCCCTGATGGTTTATTCAGTACCACAGGATCAATTCCAAACACATGTGCTCCCGAAGATAGCGCACACATAAGCATCAATAACAATTAAAGGAGAAGAGATTGTGAATTTGAGACGGAGCAAGATGGCACATGGAAGCTGGTGGCTGAGAAGGAGGCTGGCAGTCACGGAAAGATAGTACTCACGCATGAAGCTCTGAAAAGGCAGAATCGTTAAAAAAATCATGAAGGACCGAAAGCTTTCTGTATGATCAAGTGAGGAAGTAGAAGGTCAACCTACTCTACTGCTGAATATCTAATGTGATTAATCCGTCTGCATTTGGTGTATTTATTATTTTTGCGGGTGAGATTTCTCTCAAGGCTCTAGTGTTTGAGTGTAATGACTATGAATTTCCTCCTTTCTGAGTCTTCTCTGAGGTCTCTGGCTTGCTCTGAGACTTCAAGATTACCTGTTTCCCTCCTTTGTCTAGTGCTAACATTGTGTTACCTGTTATACTGTTTATGTATTTAAGATATTTGCTGTCAAAGGGGGAACAGGAAACAAAGACTAACTTTGGCTAGTTAGGTGAACTACGTTCATATCAAGTAGGATTGGCCTCTAAAATTTGCTTTCTATCTTAACTTTTAATTAATGTGTATGTTTGTGTCCCATGTATGTGGGTAAATGTGGAGGCCAGAAGAAGCTATCGGATCCCCTGAAGCTGGAGTTATAGGCAGTTATGAGCCACCAGACATGGGTGCTAGGACCAAACTTGGGGCCTTTGGAAGACTAGTAAGCAGTCTTAGCTGATGACCCATCAGCTAAGTTATGACCCACCAGCCCAGATTCTGAAAATTTTTTAATTAAATTTTTATTTTTTAAATTTTTATTTTATATTAATTACATTTTATTCACTTTGTAACCCAGCTGTAGCACCCTCCTTCATTCCCTCACAATCCCACCCTCCCTCTCATCTCCTCAAGTTAAGACAGTTCACAACATGAAAAGTAGCTCTTGCTACAAGAAGTTGGCTGTAAGATTCTCTTTCTGAGAACACCACAGACTTAATGACACACGGTTCTCAGGTTGGTACCGACCAGGAGGCTTCCCCTTGTTGGCAACTACAAAGACTGTTGGAGGGGAGAATCTTCAACAGTCGTACCCTGCTGCAAGACTGTGAACTACAATAATGCTCAGTGTGGCATGGTTGAAAGCACATGGGTAAAGCCGCTTCTAATTCTGCTAAAGGGGCGCCATGCCGAAATACTCTTTACACTTAAATCTCTCTACCAAAAATTATGATAGCCTTCAGGTTTCATTAGATAATTGTTCTGTACAGTAAATGGTGCTTAACACTGAAACTCACAATTGATCAAAGTGCAGAGAATAAGCGTTAATGGAATGTCCAGTCACAATTGAGACAATTTTATCACAGTCCCAAACCCAAGGCTCAGGCACCATCATGGAAAACCGAACAACATGATTAGAAGAACCAGAGTTCAGACAGGACGAGAGTCTTCTGGGTGTCACAGAACAGCTGTATTCATGAACTCACAACAGCAGTGGTTGCATGCATAAGACCTGCACAGAATCAACCTGTCAGTCTAGCACAAAAGCAAGAAGGGATCCTGAGCCTTTACCCCTTCTGAGGATATCCTGACATTGATGGCTGCTGTGGAGAGTCCGTTTGTTTTTTTTTTTTTTTTTTTTTTTTTTTTTTTTTGAGGTGTGGCCCCTGGTACAGTACTCACACTGCAGTGGATAGCCCTACACATGATTACATGGGCTTGACAAAGTAGACTCCATGGGTTAATTTTTAAAAACACAACAGGAAGCTGAAATTGAAAAGGGTTGGGAAGTAGAGATGGATCTGTGAGAAGTGAAGGTTGTATAAGAAGTGAAGAATGCGGTTGTATAGCATCAAAAAACATTTTAGGAGAATTTGACAAATCAATAAAAATATTCTCTTTTTTTCCAGTCCTGAAGGCTTTAGTTGTGAATCTTTTAGAAAAAAAAATCCATAATATAAATATAATGTTTTTTAAAGTAGTCCCAAAGTTGGCTAAGAGTGTATCAAGTTGAAGATTAGAAAAGCCACCAAAAGAAAAAAGAAAAGAGCAACACAAATTGATAAGAAAATTTACAAGTTATTTATATAAATAGAACAGGAGGTGAGCCAATGCTAAGAAAGCCTATCTTTACCCAAATCTTGTCTGCAGAAGAAAACTGGATCATAGTTAGCACTGACTGTTTCTTACCTGCGATTGATTCCATTGAATCAAGTTATATTAAAGTATCACAGTTAAAGAAATTTTTTAAAAGAAAGACATTTTTCTTTTAAAATTTGATTATGTCCTACATGTACATAATGACTTTCAGTTATTTTTTCCCTGCTCTCTCTCCCATTAAAACCTTTCTTATTTCCGACAATGTTCAGCTTTAAAATATATATGAAGACAGAAAAATAGTATCTCCAACAAGAAATTCTTTTAATAGACTAAATTAAGCAGGCAAAGTGAAAAAATAAAATGCCACAAATTCAAATTTTAGAAATCACAAACCTCTATAGCTCTCTGCTTCTACACTTTATATGCATACAGTCTCCAGTGGTAATTTGCCTATGTTACGTATTATAAACTGGGTGAGGTCTGAACTACAAACTCTTTCAGAATTTATCTCTACCTCAAGAAGATTTTCAAGAAAAGTTTTTGGTGGTTGTTGTTAATAATCTTCTTTCTTCAAGTATACCAGAAGAACATTTGCCATTTCAATCGCTTACTCAACAATGTGGTTCCCTCATTACTTTCGTCTCATGCACTGTAGAGAAACAGTACGACAGCATTCACAACCCTCCTGACATCAGAAAGAACTGAGTGTAAATTCCTATTAAAAGTGAATAATGATGTATCTAACCTCATTTTAATTCCTGTAATTGACTGGGGAAACAGGAAGATCTATTAAAAGGACCGTTGCTGGTCAAGCACTAATGAGAAAATATCTGAGTCACTGGGCTGTCATGGTAACAGGACATTATCAAAATCTGATCAGTATGCCCAGGAGCTACTGAAGTGATAGGCTGCACTTCTAATTGTGTCTTCTTGACTTGCAAGATGGGCTCTGCGCTTCTCAGAGGTGAGAGGGTAGCACAGCTCTGTTCATCAGATGAGGAACATATGACATATTCGTAAATTAAGTTCAAGCACGCAGCACTAAGGATAAATTAAACGTTGTGAAGTTTTCAAAAACTACAAAAAGAAATCCTACTTCAGTCGTGTTGTTGCCTTTTCAACTTTCTGAATAAAATTTATATTTTTCAATCTAATTTTAAAAATGACTAGTGCAAAAGGAACTTGGTGAAAACACGAAAATAAATCAATAAGGAATCTTCGCAAGGAAAAAACTTCCAAATGGAATAGTTTAAAAATGAATCCAAGAACCACAAGTGCCCTAAAGTAATCAGGCCAGAGTAGAAAGGAGATAAGAGTATTGAAAAACTGTAACGAACAAGAATGAATAGGAGAAAGTAGCCAGCCTTGTTGGCAGAAGCTGATACTAAGGATGCCTGAATAGGCTTCTTTCTGTGCCACCTGTGTTCTTAAGAGCAACCTTCCTGTCACGGCCTGAGTGTTTGGATACACAGCTTCAGTGAATACCGAAGTGTCTTCAGATCTGTCTGCTCTCTTCAACAGCTAGAATGCCATTGGATTTTTAAAGGAAATTGATTATGGCTTTCTGGTCCTCTTAGGTAGATAACTTAATTCTAAAAGGAAAACCTGTAGACTAACAAAGACACACTAAACGCTGGCATGCATCATTGACTGGAATCCCGTGTGCCCTCTCAGAGCTGCTGCTCACCAGCATCATTAATAACACATGCCCTGAAGTGCTTGTTACTCTCGTTAACGGTGTCAGCATGTGTACTGGGCTTCCCATGTATCGATATCAAAAGCAACCAATCTACAGTCAATATGATTAAAGCCCAAAGCGCATTCATCTACAACATTCTGATTTCTGAGGAGGGTGTAAAATTTCAGAGAAAATAAACAGCTGTTCTTTGGAAGCTATCAGGGTGTGGAATCAGATCAAACAGTCACTTCCCCTGAAGGAAGCAGGCTTTATAGGGAATGTGTTCACTGACCTGGGATGGAAGCAGCAGTCAGCCAGCCAGTCAGTGTGGCCAGATCCCGTAAGAAACACATTACCCTTTGGGAGGCCCACCATCTTCCAGAGGCGATCTTCACTACAGGAGACCAGGAATTCTTTGCAGGGGTGCAGGTTGATACTGTGTAGGGAGATGGAAAGGGCATTATGGATTGGCAGCTTTCTAAGGCGAATAAAGAAATGGCATTGTTTTTACTAAGGAAGGCTTTACCCAGATGTTTCAAAAACAGACTATATAAACCAGCTATAACTCTACTAACAACGTTCTCATCATCATCAATCTAATCAACTCAACGGATCTCAGATTCCTCATTTACAAGATGAAGTATTTGATTTGGGTGATCATGCATGTATAATTTTGGATTTAAAACAATAACTGGCTTTTCTTTTAGGAAGAAAAAATTGTGCAAGTGGAATTATTTTTTCATGTGTTAGGATATTTTGACCAATAAAATATTTATTACAAAAAATCATTTTCAGAATATAATCTGTCTTCAATCAGATATTATTTTGAAAAAAGTAATGAATCATAATCACATTATTATATTTTATAGTACATATGACTGAAACATTAACTTGGTGGTCCACTAACTTCACACTAAAGAACTCTGCTAACATGCTTTTGAAACTAGTCTCAGCCAATGCATTGTACACAAATTATGGTAATGAATTCAAGATGTATAAGGCAATTTCCACTTTATAAAGGCTGAAAGGGAAATGAGAAAGAAGAATATAAAACTAATGATTAGCACATTCAATACTATTATCTGAACTGGACCCCATCACTGTGACCATTAAATATAGGAGCTAAATTATTGTAAAACAGTCAACAAAGTTAATGCCTGATATTTTATCTATAGCAATGCTTTAATCGTATTTACACAGAGTCTCATCTATGCCTGATGAGCCAATAGATGCAGACAAGTCTTGTGTTAAGTACATATTGAAATACCAACTTCAACATTAGCAACAAAATGTTCAATTTCTGCTGAGTCATTTCAGTTCCAACAAATAGCATGCTTACTCACCTAGATAGTACAATGAAACAAAACATGATTAAGAAATAATACTGCACAGTAATTTCTCTAGTCTATAAATGGCCTTGTTACTTTATTTTTTCTGTAATATGGACTTTAGGGAATCAGTTCCTGAAGATATGAAGTGTCTGTGTGTTTATTCTGGGTCTTTCATGACAAAAACTATATTCTCATTATCCCTTCCATCAATACTATTAAGCCTCCAGATTATGAATTGAAATATCCTTCCCTTACATTGGCCTGCTGTAAGAATTCAACAACATCTAGTTTTTAACAAAATCCCAATCATTTTATTTTACAAAAAAAGACTTGGGAGCCAGATGCTGAAAGCCTGCTAGCTCAGAGAGGCAAAGAAAGCACCCAGCCAGCCTTCCTTCTCAGCTGACACCTGGAAGGAATGCCGCCTCTCTCAACTGTCTCCAACAATCTCCTTCAAATTCAATGCCCCTCCCTTCTACTTCCTCTGATTCTATCCATCCTCATGACATCTTCTTACTCTATGTTTTTTTTTTCTTATGTCCACTTCCTGTCAACTGGTTGCTTGCTCCACCTCCTGACCTATGGTTGACTTTATTTAATCCTGTTTACAATATTCAAGCAAAAAGCTCTCAGATTAAACGTGCTAGGGCTGAACCATACCACAACTAAGAACAGGTTTTTCCAATAAATAACACAATTTCTCGGTTCACAGTGTGATCAAATCTCCTGCATCAGCACACATTAACCATGATCGAGGATCTAGTTCTAGGGAAACTGCTTTACTTATTTTTTTTTTCAGTATTTTGCTGCTGAAAAAAAAAAAGATAATGGAAAGAAAATTATTCATATTTCAGTTCATCACAAAGTTGGTTTTGACTTTTAGAAGGCCAATTCAAGAAAGAAATTTATTATAACTCAAACAGCTAAAGGATGCATTTATGGAACTTAATTAGAAGAAAAATATGATGAGAGGTAAAAATGTCAGATTGAAACAAATTCTGTATTCAAATACACACTAGAAGGCAGAGCAAATCCTTGGAGCTACTGAGTATGATATATGTTGGCTCACAGCTATCCTGGCAGACACAGGCACACTTGACTAGATGATAAATGATCCTCTTTAAGTGAAGATGACTAAAATCATTGATGTCTTTGCAAACTTTGAGAGATTAGTTTCCAAACTGACTTTTGGGAGGAGAGCTATGTGTAGAAGGCAAAGGGCAGTACATAAACGGAAGCTCAATACAACAAATCAGTTTGGAAATGTCCTTTATGGCCCTCCTTAGTCCTTCCACTCGGATGCTTCCTGTGTCACATGGCAACAGCTTCTACCATTCCACATCTGTGGGTGTGCACGTGCGTACACACGTGCTCATATATATATATATATATATATATATATATATATATATATATATATATATATATATATAGCTGTCCCTCTTTTTCTGCAGGGGATACAGTCCAAGTCATGCTCCCCAGTGAACACATAAAACCACCCAAAGCTTCAAACTCCCTATACAGGGCACATATTTTATTTCCCTATGCACAAATCACTTATGATAAAGTTAAATTTAAAGATTAGGTACAGTAAGAGATCACAGCAATAGCTAGTGATGAAATAGAAACATATAACACATTTTTGCTCATTCCTTCCACTCACACATGACTGCCTTTTCTATTTCTTCTCAGGACTTCCCATGCACTGTAGCCATAGCTTTTGAAGCCTGACATCTGGCAGCTAAACAGGCACTAATGAATTTTACTCCACAGTTCTATGAACTGATTTGTTCTTGCTCAGGGTTTTTGGCAATTTCTTGTTTTTCTTTTTCTTTTCTTTCCTTTCTTTCTTTCCTTCCTTCCTTTCTTCCTTCCTTTTTTCTTTCTTTTCTTCCTTCCTTCTTTCCTTCCTTTCTCTTTCTTTCTTTCTTTCTTTCTTTCTTCCTTTCTTCCTTTTTTTTCTCTCTCTCTTTCTTTCTTTTAGCAATTTTTGTCTTCTCTTAGTAAGCCAAGAATGTTCAGCTTTTCAGTTAAAGCAGGTACTTCATGGTTTTGCTGGGATACATATGACTTGTCAAAATCAAGGATTTTGCAAGTGGGGACATTATAAAGTTTAAAAAGGACTTATTTAGTCACAAGCACATTGATACCAGGAATCTGTTGGCTCCTCTCACCAGCGACAACTGAGAAGGCAGTACACACAGAGTGTATTTGCTAGCAAGGGAAATGCTTCCTACTCCAGCCACGATGAGGCAGCCAAGCATGAGCTTCTGTGATGTTACACGCGTGTAACGGTGTGCATTTCATATGTCAGACTGTTTGTTTCTGAAATTTTCTGTTTATGATGTTTGGATCATAATTGACCTTGTGTTGCTCAAGTCATAGAAAGTAAAATCCTACATTAGGGGAAGTTCCTGTATATCTGTGCACGTATGTATGCATAATATATGTACATATGTGTATATATAATACTTTGTTACATGTGCGCATGAAATATATATATAATATTTTTTATGATAAATATATGAACACTTCAGTCAAACACTGATATTCCATTCTTCAAAGAATATAATAATTCAGTTCATCTATGAATAGATCTTTAAAAGAAACGTTTAAGCACAAATTTTAAGTAAATAATAATAAAAAATACACGTCTGCATTATTCATTGAGTGCATCCTGAGTCAATCCAAGTTCAACAATTTGGGAGGCAAGAACCAGGACTATTTCCTCGGACAGAAGTAAAGTATCATTCCTAATTCTATTATCGTCATCATCATCACCACCATCATCATCAATGGTAATGATATCAAACTCCCTTAAACTCCCACACCTTGAACTAAATGCTTAATTCTTACAATTAATTATGAAATCTCACAAGATTGTTTTATTTGTTGTAACCGAAACTCAGCAGTGTCTGGCACATAGGATCTATTTAATAACTGTATGTCAGATACATGACCAAGCGACTGGTGCTGTTTGTGCTGCTGTTTCGATCCCAAGTAAACAGTACCAGACACTGTGCATGTTTCTTAGTCTCACAGTTGGTGACTGGTGAAAACTGGCTTTGGGTCCAGGATGCTCTTGTTTTATGGCTGATGATTTTAGTTATTACTAAACCATACACATTTTTTTTCAAAATTTTTATTTGTAAATATATTATAAATACCAATAACTCAATTAAAGGGATTTTACATGCTATTGTTCATTGTAAATGCTCAATTAGACATTATCAAATCTAAGGTAAGAACTCATTTGGGAAATGAGCAATACCAAAAGATAGACTAGCCTTAAAGAAAACTAGCAGACGCATCCTTTGAAGCTACGATGCCCCATTCTGTAAATGCTAGAGAAACCAGTGAAAACTAAGTGTCCTAAACCATCTGCAAGTTTTTTTGCAGCATGTTTCATTTATCATATTTAACTTTTTTGATTTTTGTAATATTATGAGACTTGAATGATATATTAAGTTGTCAGAAAGAATAGATGTTTCATTCAACTTTTTTCCCCAAAAATGTCTTTACATAATAAATGAAGAATAATATTTGATATATATAAATTCTTTAGGTAATTAATTCACTGAACATTTCCACATCATACTCAGGCTTCAGCTTTGATAATTCCATCTATTTCTAAATTAGTCTTTTGGAGAGGCTGAAGGAGAGGTAACCAACACTTTATAGGAATCAATTTCTGGTTTGGAAGCTGCAAGCATTAACTTTCTTAATCATTATAACACTTCCACTAAGTGGGTTAAGCACAGTCATCACTTTTGCAGGTGGAGGTACTAGAACACATAAAGGTTAAACCACACACTGGGTCATGAAGTCAGAAGGTGCTAGAGCCAGGATGTAGTATGAAATTGAGAGGATTGTCTCCAGAACCTATATTCCTCAGTCAACTGAGGAACCTCAATTATTGTTTTTTGTTTGTTTGTTTGTTTGTTTTTAGATAAAAGGGTGGAGAATGTTATCTCAGTTACATTAGAGGATTTACTAGTTTTATGAAGTGAAGAAAATATTCGTATCTTACTAGGATTTTGAAGTTTCGAAAGAATAGGCATACATTTAAAATCTCTAATACTGTATAGAAGGCTGGAAATATTTG